CTCCAGTGAGAGCAGGTCTTTGCCGAGTGCCACCGCTCCGGCACTTGGCGATAATTGTGGGAACAACAAGTGGCAAGTGGTCCCTTAAATTATTTGGCATTACCCTTAAGTACCCGATCAGTCAGGGCAATTCAGAGTTTGATGTCTGAGAGCTCTACACACCTGCAATTACTTAAATCCACAAAATTGTACCCATAGGTATTTGCAGGCACAAAAATGTTGGCATAAAATTAGAGGCCATTTCCTAAAACCTGTGCCTAAATTTTGATGATATACTATATGAGGGGTTGTTATTTTGAAATGGATTTGCGGAAAGCAATTGAAAATCTCCAGGCATCCCATCTGTGTTTAAAGTAACAACAATAACAAAACTTTAAATTAGCATAGGAGATTTAAGACATTTCAGGAAAACATTGATTAAATCTGCCAATGAAATGAATGTGTTTGGCGAGTGACCTAATTAGTGTATACTTGGTTCTTTTTCACTGCACTGCTTACCACTAATTGCTGTTCTGCTGGTCTTCTCCTGACAAGTAAGAAAAAACAAGGATGAGGGATTTGTTGAGGAAATAGTGACATTCAGTTTTAATTCATTTGAACCTGCTGCCAAGCTTAATTATGGAACTGAGAAGCTGAGACTGGGAGGCCCCCAGCCGTTTAGGTTATAGGAGACGGAGATGTTTAGTATCTGCCAGTGTGTTTGGGTAGCACTTATTGCAGCCAGCTATAAACTTGTGCTTGCTGATGCTTAGCTGTTTTCTTTCCCCCACAGGTACAGAAACACTGGTTTTATTCCTTAAATTTAATTATTTAGCTCTAATGGCGTCAGGCCAAAACAAAATTACAAGCATTTTATTTCTTAGAGGAAAGGTTTAACAATTAATCTGGAGAGTCTTGTCTTGGTTTTTTTTGTGTGTGTGTGTGTTTGCGTGTACAAACAAGTAATATGTCATTCTACAAGAAAAACTCGGCATCCTGCAAAACTTGTAGCACTGGAGTGCTGGAGTCACCCTCAGTGTAAGCACACTTGAGCTGAGGGGCTCGTGTTATTGATAAATTCAGTTCCCATCTCTTGAAGCAGCGGGGGATAACACAGCTTTCCCTGTTGCATTTGGAGCACTTGGAGGAAAAGGGCAGGATGCTTCGTGAAAAAAGGGGAAATAGTTCTGGTTTTGGTTTCCTATGGTGGTGATGGATTCTTGTAAGCGGACTCTGAATGTCCTGGTTTAGAGTCTGAGTATATTTTTCATGATTTTCTGCACAAAATAAAAATGGAGGGGGGAATAAAAATAATCCATTGACCAGGATGTTTATGAGGCAGTCCACACACAAAAAAAATAAATGAGGGGAAAAAAACAAAGCTGTGGAATTTGAGCCTAGCAGAGGGTGGGGCTGGTGGGGCTTGCACTTGTTTTTAACAAGAGGAAAAAGAAATGTAGACGTTTTCTTAGAGCAGCAGCATTCTATTGGCAGACCCTGGTCTGAATCCCTCCCGGGAGATGCTTCCAGCCAGCCAGCTGCCTTTTCCCAGGAGGAGCCAGGGAATAGTTATCTGAGCAGGGATGGGTGCCTGGGCAGCCAAAGCCCCCCGTGCAGTACCTGCAGGGGCAGCCCCAGCAGTCTGCCTCTGCCAGCCTGAGCCCGCTCTGGCCACAGCCTGGGAAGGACTCTCAGAACAGGGAGTTTGGGGGTTTATTTATACTACAGGGAGAGCTGGAGGGGGGATGTCCCAACACCCCTCTTTAGCTTCTGTGGGGACTAAACTTGGTCTACCCTGGAAAGTATATAAACCAAAACAAAGAACCACCCCCAAAACCTAAACAAAAAAAAGCCGGGCTACTTTGCTAGTGCTCCATACCCCAAAAAAATGAAGTGAGATTATAAACAAATGAAATATGTTAGTGTTGGTCACCAACATAGGCTATAAACATCTACATGGAAGAACATAAACTGTGCAAAAAGGCAGCGTGCCTGGTTTTCTGTTATATAGCATTGCAGGGTTCTTGTAAGGATACTTGACTGCTGAAACAGCCTGGGAACTTGGCCTCCCTTGCGGCAGATTGATGTTCTTTGGACGGGTTTTCAGCCATGGAGTGGTTTTGTCCTGATGTTCTGTGTGTGGTGGAGAGATGTGTCGGGAGAGGGGAGAGCCAGAAAAAGATACTTGGAATGAAAATGAACTTGAGGGAAGGAAAAAGAGCAGCTCTGCAGTGAGGCTGGGAGTAGTAATACTAGAATGCATAATGGGCAGCTAAAGATGCAAGGATTTTTTTAGTCTCAAGACTCTCCCTGGTTATATTTCCACTTGTGCCCACGGATAAATGTTTAGGGGATATTAATGGCTTTAACTATTATAGAATGACGTTAATCTGCAGTAATTCACTGTGTTAGATATACCTGATCTCTATAATACAACACCGGAATATTCTTACACATTCTGGGTTATGTTTACAAGCAATATTAACTTAGCTGTGAATGTTTACCATGCTGTCTAAAAAGTCATATTAAAAATCATATTCCTTTTACTACTGCATACATGAATCCTGCACTGCACGCTAATGACAAATATAAAAATCTAACTCTATTACCTGTTTTTAATGTCAATATTAAAATTTATTTTTGTACTTTAAATCTTGTAGTTTTTTGAGCATGAACACGGTGAGAAAAAAAATGAAATTTAGTCTCTTGAGAAGAGCACCTTGCTATGCTAAAAAATAATTTACCCTGTGCTTGATCCAAGCCATCCCATGACTTCCCAAGGCATTTCAGGTTTCCCACTTGGCACTCTGGCTTCTTGTCAGGATCTGTCGTTTGGCAAGATGGAAGTTGCATCTAATTGTATCTTCTCCTTCCTCCCAGTAGCTGCTCTCCCAAAGGGCAAAGGCATTGGAGAAATCCAGGGAGGACTCTGGCTCTCTTGTAGCAGGTTTTTTTGTTCAATGCAGTATCAGCTTCACTGCCACTATGCAGTGAAGAGAGAGCTTGGGTAACACTCAAAAGCAAAATGAGATGTAGAACAAGCTGATTTAAAAATGGCATGCTCGGTAGCAAGAAAAAGTGAAAATCAAATAGGGGGAATCTGAGCAGGTAAAATACCTTCCTCCTCTCCCCCAAGTTGATCAAACTCCAGTGCACTTCTTCATGGTGGTGTTTATTAGATCTGCTGCCCCAGTGTATAGTTGTTCAAGACTTTCCCTCTATTTGTAGCAATGCTCTAACAAAAAATTCAGTCAAAACAACAAAAAAAACCCACTCAGAAAACTAAGGGAAGAACAGAAAAGTTCAGATCTTGACTTTGTTATCAAAATAGTGCTTTTCCTACTCTTTAAGTCAGTCAGCAGTTTCTTTAACAATTTTGATTGTTTCTTTTTTTCTGATTTCTTTTTTGATTTCTTAAAACTGCAAATGTGATTTAAGCCAAGAAAACTAATGAAGTCCATGCGGACAAAACTATTTCATTGTTGGACTAACCCCTGCATCAAGTAATGCATACATAAAAAAATAAAAATAGAGATGTTTATAACTTGAGGGGCAAGTTGATCACAGGCATACAATCTTATACCTAGATTTGGTGCAGAGAGGGAGGCAATAAGGCCTCCCAGGAGCAGGAAGAAAGGCTGGCAAAAGACATAAAAATGGATACGGCAAGAAAGCATATCTGTGGTTGCCTCCTGTATGATGTGTATTGACCTAGTAAATTGAGATGTCTGCAAAGGAGCTGCTATGCTATAAATACGCTTGTGCTAATATTATTAAAGCTTTCAGGCAGTTCGGTTTTGTCCGTATGGCTTCCCAGGGAAATGCCAAAGAGGTGGCCCCTGGCCTCAGCTTGTCCGAGCAGCACGTGCCTATCTGCACTGTAATTGTTTAATAAGATATAGGCCGGGGTTTTCAGAGGATTCCCTGGACGGATTGTGAAATATATGCAGCTGCCTAAATAGGTGCATGGTGAGATTTTTAGATCTTCCTAACTCTGTTGAAATCTTTATGAGCAAGATGTTTGAATGCTGTTGAAGATCAGAGATAACTAAGTGCTTGGAAGTTGGGAAAAGTCTTTACCCTCCTTCGTATCTTTAGGAAAATAAAAATACTTCCAGAGTTGTTGATATCCAGTAGGGGCTTAATGGCTTGAACATACCAGTCTTGCTGGTTAAAGGAAGAAAAAATGGAGAGGGAAGAAGAGAAGATAGGAAGTGACTGGCTGATTAATAAACTAAACTAATGCAAATACTGGGAGTAGGAAAGCCACTTAAAAGCAGATGGTTATCCCTTGCCAATCCCTAAGATCTAACCTCACTAAGCTGCTGTTTAGATGATACCCTGAAGCAGTTCCTGGTAGGGACCTGGCCCTTGTTCCAGCAGAGAGGGCGGTGAGATGAAAGGGATGTGGTTTAACCAGGCTTTGACTTTATTATCTTACCATCTTCTAGAGCTATCTGGCAGTCACTTGTAGAGAGCAGGTTGCTCTTTCTCCCTTAATTGCTCCCACCTGCTGGAAAACCGTGCTCCCTGCCCCTACACAGATGGCCCCAGCCTGCTGCCCTCCTCTTCTGAAGCTTAAACCTCCTATGGGTTCAAGGGATGGGGAAAGGGTGGTGTTTTTCCATGAAACCAGCTGTTGCAAGCTGTAGCTTTGTATATCTGGGTGGACCATACTGCTGCCTCTTCTTGTGGATGAGATGGGATCGAAGCCCCTCTGAGCCGCTGCCCTCCTGGTGCCAGGGACCTTCTATCTGTTAGGACAAAGAGCTGTCTTCTCTTTCCATCTGCTGGACACCTTCCTGCACTTGAGAGCTTCAGGTCATTCCATTTCCTTAAACCCCACTAGGCTTAGGAGGAAAGGTGTGAGAAATAGAAGTGTGGTGGCAGTGCTACTGGAAGATGTATGATGCAATGGGAGAGAATGGAAAGGGTTTCCTTCATTATAAAAATAAAATCTTTCCATGTGTATGTGCATAGATATAATAATGAAAATGTCTATTTATCTGTTTATTTTTCAGGTTATGGTTTTGTAGATTTTGACAGTCCGGCAGCAGCACAGAAAGCAGTAGCGTCTCTCAAAGCAAATGGTGTGCAGGCACAGATGGCAAAGGTAAGAGCAATCATGTTATACAGGATTATTTGAACTGTTTGGTTAAATTTCCAAGAGTTTGCTTGGCTCTTGTTTTTCTTAAGGTTTTGGATTGCTTAGTCCAATGTTTTTTTGGTCCTTTGGCTCCAGCGCCTTATTCATCCTGTGGTTTGTGTTCTTGAGAGCTGTATCTCATGTGATGGGTTCTACCCCGATTCCCTCTGGAGAGGGTTGTAAGATGGAGAGCGATGGAGAGACAGAGCGGTTGGAAATGCCTTTGTGCTGACTGCAGGGTGAAAGAGTTATGTTTTCTTTGCTTCGGAGTTGTCTTCATTTGGTTCCTCAGCCTTGGAATAGTTATTCTTTTCTGTCGTGCCTGGTGGGCTTCTCTGAAGGAGTGATTGACTGAACATAAGGCAAGTTTGATTGATCTGCCGTGGTTTGGCTTCTCCTGTCTTTTTACTTTGAGGACGTAATGGAAGTGTAGCAGGTTGCTAAAAAAATAGTTGCTGGAGGTTGTCTGGAGGTGACTGGCATCTGTTGTTCAGAGAGGCTGCAGGAGCCATGCTGTACACCTCGTAGCAAGCACGGTGAGCTGAGATTCTCTGGTTCTGGAATTGTTCTTTGTCCCCAAGCACAGGGGCTGACGAGGAGACAGGGGTTATAGTAAATGACCGTCATGTGCTCCGGCTGTTGCCTTTCTGTAGGCATAATCATGTGCCTTTGGGCTCTAGACTGTGTCGACCAGCAAAAATAGCTCTTGCTTTGTACTTTCAAAATGCCTTGCCTTAGAATCACAAAAAAGCCCTTAATAGTGCCTGATTCAGTCTCTGCAGAAATGATGTCGGCCTAAAATCTCAAACAGTAACAACAAAAGCAGAGACAAATCAACTAATAAACAATCACGTTTAAAGATTCCCATTTAAAGCAATCTTGGTGATTTAAACCTTTGTTTTTCAACAATATCATACTAAAAACATAAGGGTTTTTTTTACGAAAAAAATCATTGGTGGTAAATGAGGTTCTTTTGCCTTCGACTGAATTACACTGACTGTGCCTTAAAGTAACTGGAAGTCATCCATGTATTTCTGTTTAATGGTGCCCCGCAATCCAAGCTATGCTGTTTTATTGGCTCTTAGTTTTTATTGACATGTGGTGATAAAAAAATATTTCCTTCAAATGGGTAAAAGATGGCAAGCTGAAGAATGTGAACACCAACTAAGGACTGTGCTATTTTATTTCTCAAATATACTGCGTCTCCATGTTCAAATATAGGCAATTTGATGCATTAGTCAAGCTGTGGAAAAAAAAAAAAGACAGGAGATATGTTTTGTCCTAGTGGTTGATCTCAAATAGCCATTTCCAGGGAAGTGTAGGTCTCTTAACTACGTAAATCTGTGAAGTCATAGATTTAAAATTAGAGGTTTAAAGATAGGATTAAAAGATAAATCTATATTTGGTATTTGTATGATTCACAACAATGAACAACTGCATGCATGGAAATACCAGAACAGAAGGTGACTTAAAACACTGTCTTTTGGAATGCCCAGTGTTTTCTGGGGCTAAAAGCAAAGGCTGATGCTTTCAGAGTGGGAAGGGCTGTACCAACCATTGAGGTTTGTTTGCTGGTGGATCTGTGGCAGCAGTAGTTTTTTACCCTTCATGATTTTGAGGTGGCTGATGTGTACACTTTTGTTTGCATAAGGCTAACTGTATTTTTATTATTTAGCCATGGTGCCTGGAATCCCAGATAGGTTCTTTTTAGTGTGTTTGATAGTTCAAGATAAATATACAACTGACTTTTCCTATCTCTGAAAAAATCAAAGTATTTAGAAAAACGGGGATTCAAAGGAAATTGAGACGACTTTACACAAAGTACCTCACATTGCTGAAAAGGCAGGGCCTGGGAAAGCAAATCTATCTGGAGCGACATGCTAGTTCTTGCAGATGTTGGAAGCCAAGTTGCATAACAGACTGAAAGACAACATTACCTGCCAGTGTCTGAATGAACAGTGAGGGCTCAGAAAAGGTTTGAAGAAAGGCAGAAGAATTTAGGCTCCACTTCTGGAAGTTTGTCCAGACCAGTTTTTTTTTTTTTTTTTTTTTTTTTCAAGAACTACTTTAATTAGTGGTGAATGGTGGCTATCAAATGAAATAAAAGAAAAAGAGTAAGTGTGAAGAAATCACCTAGACCTTTTGCATGCCATACGTTGAAAAAGTACGGTCAATGTCCCATATCTTCTGCACAGTGAAACTGCCCAGTGCAGAGGGCCAGGAGAAGACTGTAACCTGGGTTCAGCAAATGTCAAAAATCTCAGTCCAGTCATGGATGCTTTTGAGTAAAGGTGAAAGAGGCATTGGCCAGCTTTCGCTATACACTAGCCTTCTCCAGTAGCGAGAGAAAGTATGCTGAGGTGTCGGTATAGTCTGTGATGTTTTCCTGGAGAGAAATCTTGCTCGGAAAGAGAAGTGCTTTCTCAGTTTTAACACAATATATTTTTTCTCATAGAAATCTAGGAATCTTCTTTGAAAAACAAAAAGCAGAACTGAACCCCCACCCCTGTTGGCTGACAGAAATATCTTGTGGATACTTGAGTAAAATATACTCATTTTATTGATGCTTAAATACAGCCACCTCCCTCATTTTTATAGCATTTGGACACCCTTTTGGCTGATTTTGTTTCAGAGTGCTGCCTCTGGAAGAAGGTTAGACTCTGGTGGATCAGTGCTCCAAGTCCCATCATTGTTGGAAAACTTGTTCTGTCGAGGATAATACACTCCATAACCCTACACAGGGAAAAACACCATTAAATGTGTTTGAATCTCGCTTTTTGTTCTCTTGGATGCTGTTCAGCCTGATGCAAAGTACTCAGGAGAGGATTCAGCTGAGGGAGAGGAGCAGCAGTATTATGCCTGTAGGGGTAGTGATTGCGGCTGGGAGGTGATGTCTCATGGGCCCATGGATGGCTGCCCGTTTGGTGGGATGAGGACACTCATGGCCGCAAAAGATCTGGGCTCTCGTGTACTTGTGCAGTCTCAATTTGTCTCTTCATCATTTCCCTCACACAGGTACCTGAAGCAGAAATTTTGACTATTGCCATTTTCCTATGTCCAATGAAGTTCATCTGAGTTGTCCATCATTTTCCAAAGTCCTTATTAATCGTTTCATTTATTGAGAAAAAAATAATGTGAGGGAGCTGCTGAGGGATGGTTTCTCAGCTGGGCTGGCTCATTTTACTATGTGCTTCCAGTAACCCAGACATACAGATTCATTTGTATGTATATAGTGCTTCCTTGTCCAGGCTCATAGAATTTGGGTGGTTTTATGTTTTCGTTTTCCTACTAAAACCAGCACAATTGATATGCCACTGAATAATGTCACAGGAATTATTGATTTGGTTGTCTTTTTGTGATAGGGACTACACAAGCTCAACACAGAAAAGAATACTTATGTATGTTTTATGTACTGGTTTCAGTTTTTTCCATCTGCTCCTTTCATGTGTTTTCTAGAAAAATGTTATAGATGGAACATGGAAAATTAATAAGGAGAATTTTAATAATATGGGAGTTGGCTCACACAAGTAGGCAAGGAAGATAGTGCACATGGAAAACGTATCAATGCTCTAATGAAATCTGTAGACACATCTATTCTTGGAATTTGCAGCAGTCCTTCACTCTGAATTACATATTCATGATGACACTTCTTAATCTGTTTTATATGTAAACTTTTAATGATACCAAGGAGTCTAAATCACCTAAAGAATCAATAGAAATTAGCTGTGTAACAAAATTGGAGGGTCTGAGTTTGTGTCAACCCTGAAGTTGATAGACTTTACAATTGTATAGTAAGTTTATACCTTCAAGGACATTTCTGTGTCCTTTCTACCATCTTTTATGTCCAGTTCTAGTCTGCTGTAAGATCATATCAAGTGGAAGTTCAGGCAAAGATAGGTTCTTGCAGAGAGTGTGTAATAGCTTCTTTAATATCTACTAGCCCATCAAGAATGTTGAAACAAACACGTTCACCAAGGAGGGTTTTTCAGTCCCGCTGTTATTCCAAGTGCATTTTTAAGGATTAAAAAATGTACTTGATGATGCCTGTCTTCTTTGGGCTTTCCTTTTGTATGTATAATGCATTTAGACATCCTCAGCACCTGTGCAAGAGATGTGGACACTGAAGAAATATTTAATGAGCATTGGCAGTTGTCTAAATCCAAGGAACATTTCTTGACTACTCTGCTGCAGTAATTGCCATCCAGAGGGTACACTGAAGAAGCTGGTTCTGAAAAAAGGCTGTGCTGATAGATTCTGATGTGTTTTGCTTGACAAGCGAATTACAGAATGTGATTTTGCTTCTTGTGTGATGTTTTTCTCATCTCTCCATCATGCAGAAGCTTAAATACAGGGAGTAATCACCATCTAGGTGAAACATAAAAGGGAGTCAAGCATAAGAGCTTCTGAAGAGGAACAGAGAGCTGGTTGGTCTATAGTTAAATAGTTTTTGTCCAAGGACCAAAGAAAAGGATATCCCACAGAAGAATCTTCTTTATTTTGTAGGCTTTTGCATAGATTTCAGGAATTGCTCTGGTATGAGTCAGAGCAAATAAGTCCATTCCACCTGCTAGTTTTTCAGCTTAATTTTCTCTTCCTTTTAAATTACTTGCCTTTTTTTCTTTGTCATATACCGATACTCTAAAAGGCTGTTCCTTAAAATGGGAACTCCAGAAAATGGAAAGACTCTCCAGTGAGAGCCCTCCATCCTAATATTTTTTTTAATCTAGATTTTTAATGAAAAAGTATAATTCTATGTATTTTGCAGTTTAGAATTTCATGAAAAAGTTCAATAAAAATGCTATCCTTACAAAATATGATGTCTGGCCTATACAGGGAACATCTGATACACTGAATCTCACAAGCAGCTTCTTAATTCATGATAGAAATGTCTGAAAATTTTAGCTAACTGAACTTCAGGATAAGTTTTTTTGGCATTCTTAGACAACATTTGTGGCTAACAGCCTTAT